AACAATAAAGGTGAAATAATCCAAGTTACGAGTTAAATTAGAGGGTAATTAGTACAAGAAAAACATCGTCATTTGTATTTTTATTGAATTTAAATTTTAATGATTTCAGGTTTGATTTATTGTTCTTCTTCTAAAGTCAATATCCAAAACATGTTTAGGCAGGATTTGATTAAATATCGATACCAATAATCTTCGCTTGTAATTGAAAAAAAAATGTTGACTTTGATTTTTTTTTTTAATAAACGATATTATCTATATTAGAAAGAGGAATAAGTTTAACCTTACAATTAACTAGCATATGATTCAAACTCGCTTTTGACGAGATCAAACCTAACATCAAACTTATAAGTGAAAATGAGCATTATTAGATCGTAGTATCAAGTGGTCGTTGACTTTGATTGTTTGATTGAAAGCAGATACAAGCCCTTCATTTGCTGTGGTAGGTCCATAGTCCGTATTTTGCAGGTAGTAGGTTGTACCACACAGGATCCACTATGTTGCACACAAAATTTATGGCATTGGAAGAATTGACCAAAAAAATAATTTTTCAAGAAAACTTAGGAACGGGGCGGCTCCCATCACGTTATAGGTAAGTCAAACTTTCACAAATACATAAGGGCCGTGTATTTTGGTCTCAATGATCCCACATTGGTTTCAAATTGTATAAGAGCAGCCCTACTGAAGATTCTCTACAAAACTTTACCAGATAACAATTATTGTAGTTAAAAGCGATCACTTGAATACAAACATGAGAGTAGAAATCCTCTCCTAATCTCTACGTCGGAGCTCAAGGATCCAAAGATCTAGGCTATTGAAGAAAGAGAGATTCAAACCCTTGGTTTGTCTGAGATGAGTTAGTGGACTGGACTGCTAAACTAGAAACTTAAAATGAATGGTTCGAATTTCTAGATCCGTTGGTTTCAGACACATAGATCTGAAATGGATCTCAGTTGCAAACGCGGCTCAAAATTGTTGACTATGAGTTGATTGCAACTTGCAGAGGCGCAGATTTTCTAATCTCTCAAAAGAATACAACCATTTTCTTACAAAGATATGAAAAAAATAAATATATATGAAAAGGGAATATGATGATACTATTGTAGATTGATCTATATTAATCTATATTAAATTAACCCGCATTACAATACAACTTTACACACTACAAGAACAATACTAGATACATTAGACACTTTTTATGAATATCAACTAAGTATCGTAAGTAAATTACTTCCGGTTGTTCAATCATTTGATCACCAAAATCATTTTTTGATAAATAATTACCATGAGTTAGACTCAATAGAATTTGATCAATCATTTTTTCTGTCATTAAGGTGGAGATCTGAACCAAGAATATGAAAAAAATAAATCCCTAGGGTTACACAAGCTAATAGTAATACAAGTAGTTCACAGTAGGCCTTCTCAAAACAGATTTCTAGAGGAACTTTTGCCGGTTTTGTAATCCCATCACTGCTTGAGTTTCTTATCATTTCTGGTTCTCTTTCTAAACTCTCGATTCTCCGTAGAGTACTGCTTTTTTATTAACAAATTGCTCATGGATGTTTTCAAAGCCTCAGCAGCTGTCAAGAAAAAGTTATCGTCAAACGACACTCTTCCCTGCAGCTTCTCGAGCAATTTCTCACCTCCGGGGATCTCAGCGTCTTTCAAAACAATTGGCCCATGCTCAACTGAATCAGGACTGGTTTCCTTGACGCCAGAGATAACCTTGACACGGGCCACACAAGGGTATTGAGAATCATGCAAGTTAGAGGCACCCGTTACCATCCACAATAATCCTGACGATAAGCTAGTTCCCAAGCTTGTAGGAATAAAGGCATCTCCCTCGATAGAAACCACCTGTTCGAATCACACGAAATGTCAATGCCTACTTTATGTGCGCGTCATGATAAATCTTCAGTAATTTAGCTCCAAGGAGCTATATTTCATGGTAATGAGGTAGTTAAGACTTAGGATAAAGGCGTTAACAGGAAGGGCAAACGATAAAAATCAAGGGTAACGCTATGCAATATGTGAAGTGTATAAAGAAGAAATTTCTCGTGAAGTAAATTCAACTACAACTGCCTGATAACAGGTCAGCGTGTACTTTTGTACGGATGTGTACTTACAGTTCATATTACTTAACTAATCGAGGTCCTTACCTTGGCGACATGGATTGTTTTAGCAGAAAGATCACAGCTCAATAATGTTATTCCTTGCAAACTACAATGGAATATCAAATTGAGGATCAAGTAATGAAATAAACAACCGCACAACGAAAGAAGAGATAAAGTCCAATAGATAGAAACTTGCCTTTGAACAGCCACTGCAACAAGGGTGCTATCTGGGATGCTGCACAAATCTGTAACGGCCCCATGGCACTCTTCTATTCCATTGGACCCTAAAAGTCCTGCCTTCAGAATGAAATCAAGTAAACAGCATGCCAACAGAAAAATTACAAGACTCTCGTAGCGCTAGTAAGTCTCAGCTAGAGAAATAGGAAAATTTTAGCCGAACATGCTAAAGTATTTCAGAAACAACAAAAAGGTGAATGGGAATCCCAGGAAACATAGAACTATTGAAGTACCTTTTCTCTGATATCAAATGTGTTTAGGAGAGATCCTGAGGAAATATCCCATAGACGAACCTGCAAAATCAATGTGGATCAATTAATCTACCGTACACAAGATGCATGTGGAAGCAGTTCAAAGACCATGAGTTATTACGATTGCTTACTGTCGAATCACCACTTCCAGAGACAAGAAACCCCTGGGGGCATTCCTGAGTGCAAACAAAGGCAAGGCATGAAACAAACCTGCCAATAGATGCATGAAAGTGAAGATAAGTGAAAGTTTAGTAACCAGAACATTTCCTAAATATGTTTTAGATCGAATTGCCAAAATTAATAAGAAACACCGAGCCCTGTATATTTAATTTCGAGTTCACTGCATGTTTTGTGCATATTGGGTTGAAGTTTAAAGGAAGGACTTGACTAAGCACATAGCAAATACGACAGTTTACATAATGCTTCTTCCTTTATCTATATAGTTTCTCTGTTGTCTTATAACAGAAGAGATAGCCACTCACTCTGTATGACCAAGGGAGAAACTTTGTATCTCGTGAGCTCCATCTAAAGGCTTCTTAGGAAACACTGTAACCTGCCAAAAGAAAAATCATGTAAACTATGTGCAAATGTAGCTATCAGATTATTCAAAAGATTGTAATGTTGGATTACTCGAATTTTGAAATCCCGGTCAGCACTAACGAAAAATTGTCCATCTGGTGAAAACTCCTGCCAAAATTACAATATTAATTACTACTAATCTTATCAATATCATGCGGTCATAGAAACAATGTACACCTATGATATAAGAACCACTATTATCTACGTGTGAGTAAGATACAAAGAAATGCCGAGCAACAGAAGACAACTCACCAGGCTTGTTATGATGCTACAATAGTGAGAAAGCAGCGGTGCCGCCTTCTTACTAACAGAAGCTTGATGTCCATCAGACATATCCACATCCACAACCCAAACAACCCCAAACTTGTCAGCAAAACAAACATAGGAACCATCATTGCTTATGGCAACTGCACTCACTCTTTTCTCTGAGCACCTATAACAAAAAAAGGCGGAAATAATATCAGATGATTTCGTTGATATGATCCTCAATACCATTCATAAGATTACCACAACGTCATGGGTGTTTCAATAATTTTTATTTCCATGATGAAGTTTGAATAACTTACACAGTAGTAATGCAGCGCCAAGATTCAGTCGACCAAATCTTGACGGTTTTATCATCACCAGCCGACACAAAAAGCTTCCCGTCTGCTCCGTAGCGAATGGCTCTTATCGAATCCTTATGAAGAGGACTACCAGAATTATCCACCAAAGAAACCGCACAACCCCCACTGTCACAAAACCATACAATCAAACAGTTATTTTGCTGAAATTGATTAATTTTCTCATAAACTCACATAAAAAAAGCCAATTAACTACATAAATACAACAAGAAACTGAATTTACAACTTCCAATTTTCCTGACAAATTAATCAGAGCCAAACAAAGCTTAAAGTTTCAAACTTGACCAAAACTGACACTGTGTTCAACATGTACAATTGAAACTACACAGAGACCGTCGACGTTTCAATCTTCAGGGACTCACGATTGAACCGTGTTGTACTTCAACGAGGCCAATTTTTGAAATCCAAAGCAACAATGCACGGAGACTGGGGGGAAATTGCTTACCGGAGGTCGAAGACGCGGAGGTCCGACCCGACGGCGACTGCGACGGAGCTCTGGGTAGGGTGGACTGCAATTAAGGCTGGGGCCACCTCAGAATCCTTGTTGGTCTCTCCGTTTTCCATCGGAGTGTCCTCCATTGTCGCTCAGAGACGGCTCTGGTTCGCGCTCGTACCAAGTTTGTGGTTTATCTTTTGGGTTTTGTAAAAAGCCCATCTAATTGTATTTGGGCCCAATGGCCCAATGGAAAATAATAAATATTCGGTTTGAAAATGGTTTGATTGCAAATTTGCAACTACGTAATTGTTTGGATCACTTCTTGAAGGGTTGAAAGTGTTTTCTTCGGACTTTGTTGGGCAGAAAACTTTTAAGCGTTTTGTTGGAGAAGCACATAAATTTTAATGAATTTTGTGACATTTCATAATAAAAACACTTTTAACAAAAGAGCTTTTGAGCATAATTGATTTTAACAAAATCAGTTTCAAACGAGCCTATGATATTTAACTTTAGTTAGTCGTGTAACTTGCGAAAGAAACTTCAGTAGGGTAGCTCTCTCATGGAGTGAGGCTAGTGTGTGGTGGTAGGCAACTCTCACACGGAGCGAGACTGGTGTGTGGAGTAAATGAGACTAGAATACAGGGGAACGAAGTGGCTGGTATCCCTATACCCTAATTGGCATCGTGTTGGATCAACGTATCATAATTATAATAAACAAACAGACTATGAAATTGGGTTGAACAGCATAGGTTTCCCCATCTGGTAAACATGAATGAAAGAAATTTAAATAAGATGCGGACATACATTAAGATTCTTTGTTCAATTATCCGGGAAAGAAAACAAAGGAAAACAAGTGCTTGATCCATGAGATACTTCATATAATTCTTGTACTGCTAAACTGTTACCTCTTCCAATGGCGCTTCGGCCTTTTACCGTGCTACCTTCGAATATAGGAGTTCCGAGGGGAACTCAAGTCGTAACATGACACAAAGCCGACCGGCGATAACAAAAGGGCAGCTGGCATATGGCCAATTCCTTCTAGCAGGAATGAAAAGCATCAGGAAGAGCACCTACGAAACAACAACAAATAGCGACCAGAAATGAGACCTAAATTCTCAACTGTGCACAACCATAAACACTTCCTTTGCACCGTGTCATTGGTGCTGCCTGGTGCCAAGTTGGTCTTTCACCTCCGATCGTGAGAACATCAACGTCTGATATTTGCTTGATTTCAGATGTCCCATGTTCAGAGAGGATCACCCCACCAATCACATAAATTTCATCTCCTAGCCCAGCCATTGCAAACCCAACTCTGCCACCAAACTCAGAAGCCGAAACCAATACCTTCACTGATTCTCTGTCTTGCCTGGAGATAACTCCATGGCTCATCACATAAAGTGCACCCTTAATGACTGTCATTGGACCCTGTTGCCAACCATAATCCTCTACCGTCCATTGAAGCCCCACATTGTCGAAGACTTGCACCGTTGATAAACCCCTGTGCAAGACGTACATCTTTTCTCCAATCACTATCCCTGAGCATGCAGCATTATGAGATAAATGTAGATCAGGAATTGGAGCCCACGCATCGTTGTCAGGGTCATACATTTCTGCTAAAGAGATTGATTTCCGACAGCTGGTTAAACCCCCTGCAACCACAATCTTTCCACCTAAAACACAGCATGCAAACATTGCACGAGGAACAAGCATAGATGCACGTGGGCTCCATCGCCTAATTACAGGATCGTATGACCAAACCTCATTGGTTGAAAAGGTACCATGGTCACCAGTCTGTGGGTCAACGGCATCACTGCCACCACCAAGAACAAACAGTTTTCCAGCAGTTGAGACAGTGCCGAAGTTGGAAAGGTTTTTAATTTTAGAGGGGAGAACAGGGAGTGTAATCCAAAGGTCTCGACGTGGATCATATAGCTGCCATAAATTATCTGGTTCATTAGCAGACACGCATAATAGATCCTCACATGAGCCAACTTCCTGTCGAGCTCTAAAAAGTTCAGCACTATGAATGGCAGCTTGCCAGGAATGAGAAACAAGCTCCAACTTGGGATGGAGATAGAAGGGAACCCATGCAAGGCACCTAAGGGCAACAGCGTCGGGAAGACCTTCTATCAGTTGTTCAGACATAATAATCACAGTTCATCTGTTTCAGATGATTCTTCACAGCTGATTGTAGCCACGCGAGCGCAGCACCGCAAAACAACCTGAAACAACAAAATATGAGGTTATGCCGAGAAGAGAATATTCATTTCGAATTTTCAAAATCAAAGTTTCAATGAAGGTGTATTAAGATCAAAGAAGGTGCACAATAAAGTTCAATGTATTTTCTATCAAACTTCATAAGTAATCAGCAAACAAATGCGACAAGTTACAACAAAAACTTTCAACAAAATCTCAACATTTGAAATCATCTCGTCAATTGTGTTGCAATTTTCAATGCCCTTATGTGCATATACTGCTACAAAAGACAATCACAGTGTAACATAATTTAGAAAATGAAATGGGTCTGATTCTCAATCACCAAAGTTATCACCGAGCCCCAAAACAAAAGATAAAAAATAGTCATCATTTACTAAAAGCATCCAAATGAGACTGCTAAAACATCGTGAAGGATCTTTACATGTGAATCCCACACTGCATAAATGACAGCCATCCTGAAGAGCATAAAACGTTCATCAATTTTCAAAACGTCGGAACATAATGTGCTTCATTCAAATGCACGCTATCATGTAAACTGAATGTCATAGAAAAGGCAGTTTTCTCAACTAGAAAAGAGAGAAAAGGAAATGTGGCGCAAGAAAATTAACCGTGATGCTCAAAAGACATAGGAAAAGACATAACAACTAAAACAAAATAACATAAGGTAAAACTAATTCTGCACAATACAGGATAAGAAAACTAACGCCAATGTTAGAAATCCAAGCCGCAGAGATTTGCTAACGTACTGATATTGCTAATATAGCCAAAACATAGCTGCATATGACTGCTCTCTGTTACTTACGAGTTTTAGTGAGACGTAAACCAAACAATTCTCTTCCCTATGCAGAAATCCCTACAAACACAAAAACAAAGACAAAGTTAAAAAATTTGAACTTTGAGGTATAATAGCTTGTATAAACGATGTTCAAAACATTAAAACTAACAAGTAATTATAGATATCTCACAGTACAAGACTACCCGCATTCAAACACATCAGACAAACTCATAGCATCTCAAATAAACTTCTTGTCGGTCCGAAAATTCTCACTACATTCAAGGATACACCACTGTCAGCTATGGCATAACTATTTGGCTTAATGTGGATTTACACACTAAACGAAAACGCATTGGTGCCAATCCGATCAGACTCCATTTAAGAATGACCCAGGACTCATTCAACCAAATGGTATGTAACTCACATGCATTACTACTTATGCAACAAAAGCATGAAAATTTTGTTTCAAATTTCAATCCAAAAAACAGAACCAATCAGATTCATGCACCAATTGATGCACAAAGCACACAACTTTGAATCTCAATCCCCACTATTACACTAAAATTCTTGACTTTTAACACAAAACCCACCTCCAATCCCACATAACAAAAACTGGGCAATCAATAATTTCAGTACTAACTAAAAATTTACCACAATTCACCCAAAATTATGGTAAAAAAATGCAAATTACAACTGAAACCACTCTAATCACATATTACAATTTCTTTTTCCTTGCCCATGAGAGAAAGGGAGAAAGATAGAGGGAAAGTGGATGTACCTGTAATACGGGAATCGGGTGAAGAACACAAAGATTGTGCTTTGCTGCTCAAATTTGTAGAGTGAGAGAGACAAAGAGGAGAGAGAGAAAGAGAGGGTGGCGTTTGGTTTTCTTGGCTGAGAGGATGACTTATCAGAGCTGTTATTTTGTGCGTGCTGTTTGTCTGTAAGGCAACGCGAGAGAATTCGAGCGTTATAGCGACGGATTGGAAATTGGGGAATTTTCTGTGTTCTTTTCTCTTTCACTTAACCCTAATAACCGAATAACCATTTGTGGGTATTCCTAATTTCCTAATTCCTGTTTGCTTCTGATTTCCTTGGCGCTTTGCCATGGCAATTTTGTTAGTTTTGGTTAGGTTGAAACGTGCATGGCACATGCTTTCAAAATCTTACCAAAAAGATTAAAACTTGGGTAATGGCATCCACTTACGTTATTCGTGCAGTACTTTGCAGGAAAGTATGGGGTTTTTTTTGTACTTTTGTTTATCCAACTCTATGATTGTCCCACTAATTGCGAGAGCTGCTACAATAAAGTAGTTTTGTCAATCGTTTTTATAGGAAGAAATCTTTCAGTGTATCAAGAAAACGATTAGGTATATCAAATGTCTTTTCTATAGAGCTTGTGTTTTCGTATGGAAAAACTTACTTGTTATCTAACTTACGATTAACAAAATTTTACCGTTCAATATTTGTGGATTGTCTATTCACATGAGCAACAGACTACAGTGAGAAGACAACAGGAGAGAGCCAAGAGTGATAGAGAGATCAAAAGCAATGTTTTGGGGTTTAGCATAAAGGTTGTAGATAAGTTGTTGTAACCGACTTATTAATAGTGCATATGTTTTCTCAAGAGAGATCACACGAAAAGTAGGTAAGTTTGTTGAACTTCACTAAATTCTTTGTATTTATGTGTGGTGTGTTTCTTTTATTTTTCATATATTCCCTAGCATTATTTTATAAATTTGTATAACAACGAAGATCATCGATAAACAAGATCAATTAAGAGATATTAAAATCAACGGAAGGTTGGATGCATTCATGTTTGACTGCAGAATAAGCCTTCCTTCCTTGGCATAGGGGGCACTGTGACGATCGGTCGTTTGCTGCGTGTCATGGAGCAATTTGACGGACCTACAAAAGTGCTTTTGTAGAAGAGAATTTTAGCATTTAATTTTGTGATTAATTTACTTAAAGAACACGATTATATTGGTCAAAACTCATGATTTTGTAGTTGATATGGTTGTTCTTTCATCTTCAGGATTGAAATCAACGTTTTACTGGTGACAAGTTAATTAATCTGTTTGCTTCTTTTGGTACAAGCAATGATTCCAGTACATGGTTTGTATTGTACATGGAAAAGTAGAACTCAGTGCCTGCTTTATTTCAATTCCATAAGCAAATAGATAGTGAAACTTACGTGACAACAAAGATAGATACGAAGAGATATAACTCATGTGATAACAAAGATAGACACGATGAGATATATAATCAGAAATAATGTAATCCATATACACTAAGCAATATACAAACCAGAAATCACGTACACTTACTGCTATTTGCTAATATGAAAGATAACCAATTCCATCCTTAACCGTCGATAAATTTTACTGTGTAACCGATGATATCCCGCTGTGTATAAGAATGAACACCAAAAGCCTACACTATGCAAAAAGTGGACCAATAACATGGCAGAAAAGCTTAGTAATTGGATGTGGAAGTTGAGGCATATGATGCAATGAAGAGCAAGAAGAACAGAAGATAAAATGCCATCTTGTTAGAATTTCCATCTGAAGACCCCATATGTGTTGATGGCACAGTTTTAAATCCACTCCCTGAAGGAGAAGTTGGTGTTCCTGAAGAAGGAGAATCTGCTAGAGTGGAAGACCCTGAAAAATCGTGATTAAAACTTAATCAACAAGTTCACTAAACCCAGCACAATCACAAAGATTAATAAAGTCATGTTGCACTCCTGTGTTATAGAATTACATAAACGGATAAACCATAATAATAATGTCATTTAGATTCACGAAAGTGAAAACACTGCAGACACACTTTTCTAATAGAACTGTATCAGGAACGTGGTCGGTTTTGTGTGTCTAAAATGCAGTACACAAAAGAGAATTGGTACTCAGAGGAGTACAAAATGATTTTTTTTTTTTTTTAATGACAATAACACTTCATTTTGCATACCCAGCGGCTAATTGGGGGACATTGCAAGCAGAGGGGAGAGCCAAGGCCTGAGTCTGATTGATGTTCACACCAAGTGAAGAAGAACTCACTGAGAACCTCACAGAGGCAATGTGGCTGAGAGCTGACCACATTGGAAAACTGTGAGCAACATGAGGAAGATGGGGATGATGAGTTTCCTGTCACATAATTAAGGCAAACGGACTTGCTAATATCACATCGGTGCAACTTGAAGATTGAGCAACAACGATGTCTCCTTCCCACAAAGCCATACAAAGACCAAAGTTAGCACCATGAATTCAATTCATTAATCCTCCTCCTAATTGCCATTTGCAACTGAAATTAAATAATATTTATGTGAAATTTGAGAAATAAGGAGATGTTTGGTGATGGGTTTATCTGGGTTTTGTGTCAGCAACAGGGGTTTGGGATTTGTATATATAAAATGGGGAATTGAAGGAAATAGAGGCAGCTGGTTTTCATTTTTGTCACCAACTTTTCCGACTTTGCAATAGATTTTGTTATTTATTAAACTAAAAATTTAGGAGGGGTTACCACTATGATTATAATCTATCTATAGTAGAAGATTTTGCGTTCAACTGTCACACATGATAAGTTCGTTACTAATTTATTAACCTAGCACATTATGTGACAAAACTGTCCTATCCCTTAATTAGTGTAAATATTAACTTTATTTGTGTAAATATAAATATATTGTTGTATAAAATAAACAATAAAAATTAAGGAAAACTAATAAAAATGACTTGAAAATTTTGAGTTTTAATGATAAGGACAAAATATAGGGTAAGGTGAATAGTATTAGGATTGATTTTTTAGTGTAAAAATGTGATTTTTGGTTAAAGTAAACAGTATAATGAATTTTTTGTTAAAACTCCCTAAAAATTAAGAGGTGCAAGGAAATCTTTGGACCACATAAGTGGTTTTTCTAGAACATGATGCCGTTTTAAAATGGCTCAAATGGGAGATTAAGATCAAGCTTTGGGCCCTATAACTATAAAGGGTTGGGATTGTGTCTACAAAGCCGAAGCATAGCAAAGTAAAAATCAAGTACCGCTAAATCAAATGGTCATCTAACATTAATATCAATCAATACTTGGTGAGTGGTTACATTTTCTTTTTATTCCTACTTTGTTTTTGTATTTTTTTTTCTTACAATATGATATTCAAAATTATTTTAATCTATGAAGAGTGGTATTTTGCCTTCATTATCAAATGGTAAAAGTACAAATAAATGGTATAAAGAGCAACACACAAGTGCGAATTGTGATCTCCATCGTCAAGATTCAAGAGAGAGAAATAAAAAATGATCAACTCCTAGAAAAGCACTCAAATGAAATGAAATGAAAAAAAAAATGTAGTGAAATATTTGTAGAACTAGATCGCATGCTCCAAATATCTGCAGACAAGAAGACTCAAAATTTGGCCAGAGAAGAAGCACATGGCATGACGAAAACGAGGACGAGCACAAAGTGAAAAGGTGCTCTGTCGACGCATCCGTTGGATGCGTTATCGTCGGTGGATGGTACTGTTTTAGACCCTCCTCCTGCATTAACACAAGTCATATTATCAGTATATATGTCGAGAAGTAAATTGACATTGTGACAACATAACGTAGCGGACCGTTAGAGGATACAACATTGCTCGATGCATATCTATTTATTGAATATATTTTCTACCTGAAGCTCAAGGAATGTCCGAGGCTGAAGGCGAAATGGCACCTTCAGGAGTTGAAGCATCTGAAGGTGTTTCATTGGAGGAAGCTGCTCGGGAACTTGCTGGAGGAGTTGATGAAGTTGAAGGTCCATTGGCACCTGCTTCAACAATAATCAAATCAGCTCCAACTTATTTGTATTGTTGGGTCAATATACCTAAATAAGAGTAGCTATTTTGGCACTCTTAGTTTAACTTCTGACACTTCAAATTAATTATTTTATAATTTATATATTATCTGCATTCATTGTCGAGTGCAAAGAAATAAACTGAGACTGCAAAAATCACTACTAAATAATTTCAACTGACCTCATTGGCTAAGGGGAGGAGTTTTCACTTCGCAAGCACCGGGCAAAGACAAAGCAAGTGTTTGGTTTATGGTGATGCCCAATGAGGCGCCGCCACCGTTGAGTAACGAGCAAAGGCACTGTGGAGATGACTGGACAACATTGGAGAGCTGTGATCAGCAAGAAGATGAAGGGTTTGATGAGTTTCCAGTAATGAAGTTGAGGCATGGAGCCAGGCTTGTGATTGTGCTGGTGCAGCTTGACTGAGCCATGGCTCCACCCAATAGCATGGACCAAGGACTAGGGCTAGAGCCATCTCAATCCCCTTGAATGACATGGCCAACTGGACTTGTTTAAAAATAATGAGAAGAGATGGACTTGGTGATTAAAATTTTAAAAGATGTGTGTGTAATTTGTATATTTCTGATTTGGGTTTGAGTGAGGAAAGACAAGGGATGGGATGGAAATTATATAGGGATTTCTTTTTTCTGTAGAGACAATAATTAAGATTGGTATGTTTTGTCAAAAAAAGATTGGTGAATTTGGGTGGCCAACTTCAACTGAATTAGTGTTTGCTGGCAACTAAAAATAGCTTTTTAATAAAATTAGATAATAAATTGTCATTAATTAATAATGTTCATCCTACTAGAATACAATAATAAGCATGCCTAATGATATGCTCCAAAATCAGATTACCTACCTTAGTTTTTGGAGCTACTCAGTAACAACTTGATATGTCAAAGCAAAAAGTAAGATAAAGTTGATAAACATATACAATATTCATATTTGAGAGGAACACGTCATACATAATTGAATAAAATTTACATAATTTGATCATCAATTATCCGGTAAATGTTTTGTAACTCAAGTTGTTAAACGTGCTTATCTCTACACTTAAAGCATCTCAAGTTATTAAAATAGTTTACTAGTACACCAGAGGATCTATATCCCTCAATGTGTATGAAACCAAGGGTTTTGATTTATACATTAAGGTATAAATCAAAAGTTAATTAGGGAAACTCTTGTAAAAATTTATGCCACGTTATTTATTAAACACTTTTCGCAACAGTATGAATCTCTCTTTTTTAGGATGGGGTTCTCTCCCCTTTCTTTTTCCCTTCCCCCCCCCCCCCCCCTCTCTCTCCCTTCCTCCTCTCACAGGTTTTTTTTTTGTTTTTTCATTCTTTCTCTCTCTTCAAGATCTACAAGATGAAATCTTGAGCATTCAAATATGAGGGAAAGGGAGGAAAAAAAAAAGGAGAGAGAACATTGTCTTTTTTTTTTTATAAAAAAAATCCTTATCTATTTTTTGGTTTCACCTAATCTTACATGATATCCCCCTTGAGATCGACCCAGTTGCACACCCTATTGAATGAGAAATTTTTCTCCGTGTTCAGAATACGGAGTTGTACTCTATATGTTACCATATAAATAGAAGGAAGTTTTTTTTTCAAGTCAAAGTTTTTTATTTTTTTTTTTTTATCAAGTCTCTTCCTCTACTTAACATATGGCGTATGTACACACTGAAAAATATCTCCTATTGAATATCTTCTCGCTAACTAGAAGTAAAAGAGAATGCTATAAGTAAAAAACGATTCGTCCAAGTAGGAAAAATAACTAGATAAAGTTGTTGAACTCCAAAACCGACTATTCATTTTTATATTTTCACTCGAAACCTCTCTATTGTATCAGCTATAAAATACCTCCTCAACTTGAGCCAAACCCAACTAAGTTCTAAATCCCAGTATTTCAATTCCCATAGCCTTCCATTGAAGACAAAATCATGGAATCATTCAAGGATTGTCGATTAAGTCTAATCCCAATTACCCTCCTAATCATTTCACTAAGATTGGTTAATGGGCAGATAAGTACACCATGCACAGCCTCAATGATAAGCAGCGTCACTCCATGCGTAAACTACATCACCGGGAGTACCAGCAACGGCGGGTCACCGACAGCCGAATGTTGCAGTTTGTTAAAGTCGTTAATGGGCACCGGCATGGACTGTGCCTGTCTTCTTATAACTGGTGGTGTTCCTGTCCAACTGCCCATTAACCGAACCCTCGCGCTTTCTCTTCCTCGAGCTTGTAAGATGGGAGGCGTCCCACTGCAATGCAAAGGTGCGTACTCACATAAGTTTTTTGTTTTTTTTAATTGTGTTATACTTTAGGTGACAATAATTCACTTGGACAAGAAATCTAATTTTGCGATTTTTTTCTTCTCAATCTGCAGCCTCTGGTAGTCCTTTACCTGCTCCAGGTATGTTCAAATTCATGTTATTCTAAGATGTAAAAATTTAAACCTCGTTTGGTGTTGAGACAAGACAAGACTAATAATCAATTAAAATGGTCTCTCGTGTCTTATTTTCGGTTAACTTATACATATTAAGACTAGACTTATTAAATTGGGCAATTGTCCGACATATTGTGACTTACACAACCCATCTAGATTGGGTGAGACTTTGTAGTCCTGTCCCGGACACCAAACGGGTCATTTCACAATGTGCCAATGTGTTAACTAGTACTTGAACTGGCAGGTCCTTCGTTACTAGGGCCAGCTCGTCCACCAACAGCTTCTTCACCTTTAAGTCCAAGAGGTAATATTTATTGATTACTAGCTAATTTTCTATTAAATTTCAAAGAAGACTTACTCTTTTTTATGAAGGCTATAGTACTAACGTTGATATCTTGGAATTGATGGGCAGCTTCTAAGGCAGTTGCATCAGGTCCTGCACCAGAATCTGGAACATCCGATGATCTGCAGCCAGCATCTCCATCAGATGAATCAGAAGCTCCAACACAAAGTACCCAAGGAATCGGACGACCACAGCTGACCCCATCAGCATCGAGTTTATCTTATGTTTCCCCACCATCTGTCCTACTGATAATGTTGGGAATTATGGTTTTCAATTCTTACTAGTTATTGCTAGTTACCTCTGTATCATATGCATTTTTTTATGGTTTAAGATCTTTAATTTTATGTTGTGTTGATCGGGATGGTGTAAGCTTGATAAAAATTGTTACCTTGGCTTATTAGATGTTTAATCGTTTGGGCTAGTGATTGTCGTCTAATACGTGATAGCCAATCAAATGTTTACAATGGCGAATTCGTTGTATTTTCCTCTTGGGAGCCAGATGAAGTCCGCGTGCCATTTTGAGGCATTTTGATCTTGCCGCTCCATGCTTAAGGAAAACATCAAAGAAGAATTAGACAATTTCATGGTGAGGTGGACAATTGCATAAACTCGACCAACCCTATGCGGATTCCGTCGTGTATAATCAATATAACATAAAAGAGAAACCCTAATCGCAATGAACCATGCATGTGCAAAATATGTCATCAGACACGCCGGGGGCATTTTCGCATTTTGACGAGCCGCTGAGGTCTTGCAACCAACATTTTTCTTCACATTTCTCGTCATACCGTGTATTATTAATTGCAGCGATAATCCGCTATCACCACTTTGCATCTCTTGACATCAATAGTAGCTGCACATATATATGACAAGTTAATTTGGCATGCATGGATATTTGCTATAGGACGTGGAGGACCTAGTAGTTACCTGAACACAGAAGAACAAGAACGATTAGAAAGCTGAGGAGTGAAAAGGATTTGGCCATCTTAAACATTTAAAATGTAAGCGTTTTGTGAGCAAAAGAAAACCTACAAATAGCTTTGAGCCTGTGAACTTGTCTTTGTATCACAATATTTCTTGACATACATCGTAAATTAAAAATAAAAATTAATGGGCAAATCTGTAAGGATCCATTCCTTTTTAGTTGTGAATTACAATTTGTCACGTACACATAAATAACTCACAAAAAGCACAAAAGGAAAAAGATTTGTATATATGTCAAACTATGATTTAGCTGCAAGATGAATGCATTCTTACAAGTCACCAACAATGTATTAATGATTAATGCTGTACAGGAGATAAGGAAATGTTAAACAATCACATATTATCATGAGACCTAGATGGTAAATTACAAATAAATTAAACACTACTAAATTAGCTCCTTCTATGCAAGGAGTCATTCTGTCTTACATGTAAATTAAGCGTATTTGTCACGTACACATAAATAACTGACAAAGGCCACAATAGGAAAAAGATTTGTATATATGTCAAACTGTGATTTAGTTGCAAGATGAATGTATTCTTACAAGTCACCAACAATGTATTAATGATTAATGTTGCATAGGAGATAAGGAAATGTTAAACAAGCACATATTATAGCGAGACGTACATGGTAAATTACAAATAAACACTACTAAATTAGCTCCTTCTATGCAAGGAGTCATTCCATTTTACATGTAAATCAAGTGTACCAAGATAATTCCAATAAGCACAAAAAGAAAAACCTAAGTATACTCGCCTAATTGTGATTTGTTTGAAAGGAAATATTACTCCTTATAGGAAATAGCCACATATTTTCCATTTAATGGTGTATAAACAAGTCTTAAAGCAATTTATTAGTCATCAGTGTTGCATAGGCTACAAGGAAATGTCTAACAAACACAACCCGATTACTTCGCTGATGTTGCCTATATAGACGGATTTCTTTCTGTTTTCGTTAAAGAAAATCACTTGGTCGCTTGTCGTTGTAGTAGTACCACCATAAAACACCGTCGTTTACAACGGCGAAGCTATAGGTTTTGATAAAGAGGTGGGCTAATGGAGACAATCGACCTTTTCTATTCTAAATCCAAAGGCAAAGGCAGGTTTTAGTATAATCAAGGTCAAAGGTACTCTAACCTAAACCTGTCATGCATAAGTATACTCCTGGAATTTTGGGAAATCCATCTCAACTTCACACTGGAGTATCCTCATCTACAATCACTTGCCAATTGTGTGCTCAACAAGGACACGGTGCGGCTAATTGTGTTTACAGAAACACTGGTTCTTCTAAACCTTGCCAAATTTGCAACAGGATAAATCATAGTGCTGTCACTTGCTTATGCAGAAATAGGAATTATACACCTACACCACATATGACTGCGATGCATTCTAGTTTCCCTGGAGAAAATCAAATGTATGCAATGCCATCTCATATGTCCACTGTCTTGCCACCTTCTATTTCATCTCATGTGTCAAATGCTATGTCAAGCTCTATGTCTGCATCACCATCTGCTCCACAAGTTTGGCTCACAGATTCAGGTGCTACAAACCACATGACCACTAATCTCATCAATTTGTCCTTAGCATCATCTAATCCACTGAATGAATGCAAACAGCTAAAGGTGATGGTTTGCAAGTGTCCCATATAGGGAATTCAGTCCTTTGAACTCAAGTTCATCCTCTTAAGTTGAATTCACGGTTATATATGTTCCAAAGTTGTCTTATAACTTACTGTTTGTGTGTAGACTTTGTTTGGACAATAACTGTTTGGTTGATTTTCGATGCATTCTACTTTTGGATTCAGAACAAAGCCATAGGGAGAATTCTATTCAAAGGCCTATGCAATAATGGATCGTATTCCATCTTTCACTTGCTTCCTTCAATCCATCACCGAAGGATCAAGCCCCTTCACCCAATTGCATATTAAGTCCAAAGTGGCATAGCAGACTAAGTCATCCCTTCAAGTCAATAGCATCTCTTATGCTTATTAAGTCCAAAGTGTCAGTTGTGAAGGATTTCTTACCTACAATGTGTCAAAGTTGTTTACAGGAAAAATTTAGAACACCTCCTTTCTCATCTTCTGAAGAAAAAAAAGTCTGTAATTCCTTTCTAAGTCGTGCGTAGTGATTTTTGGGTTCCGGCACTTAGTAAATCAATAGATGGTTTCAAATACTATGTGCCATATACAAACAAATGTACAGGATATTGTTGATTATTTCCCTTGATTAATATCAATCCTTTTTACCACCTTTGCAAGGGATGAAATATATGGAAAGTCACTATATAAGTTAAATGTTGGATGAAATCAAAATGTTAATACATGATGCTATGAACTCATACCCAACCATTTGGTTATGCGAAAATATGATATAACCTTTTTGTTTTGTAGTTGATGGTGCTAGAGTTTAGGCTACTTTTGTAGTTTGATGATCAAACTTTATGTATAGATCGACTTGTCTAATCCTTCATCAACATCTTTTATAAACATAATAAAATAAATAAAAAATTCTAACAACACGTTATCTACTTGATCTTACACATTTCTTCTTTATCTCTCTCACCATTCTTTCACTCTTACTCAATTATCCTCTCTTCCTGCCATTCAGTACTATAGTCTGATGATATTCTTCTTTACTTGTAAGTGAGAGATCTTAGATTTGAATCTCGTGGATGACGAATTCGATACCAAATTAGGTTGCCCATTTGTGGTTTAACCGAACTCTCCCCTCTCATTAGTGTAAAATATATCGTACTAAAAATAAAAAAAATTATCCTCTCTTCTTCGTACATTCTCCTCATATATTAAACAAAAATTAAAACCTAAACACTAAAAATCAAATAGATATCAAACATGCTATAGATATTTTGTTTTATTTCTTTCTTATTGATAATCCATGAAGAGAGAGGAAGAGAATCTAGCACGGGTATGAGCATAAGCAATATAACATATTTCCAATTATGGGAAGCTTGTAGATTTCTTGGCAAACTCCCTTAGTTGCGGGATACTGAGGAAATCTAGAGATACATTTATCAGTGCATGATTGACTCGGCCCTGGAATTTCACATTTGACATCTTCTAACGTTGAACCGCAAGTGCCTTCATCCATCGGTCTCGTTGCCACCAAACTAGAAGCTACAAAAAATTGAAATTGAACATATTATAAGAATACACTTTTTCAAAGGAAGAAAAAAAAAAAAAAAAAATGAAGTATACAAAAGTATACCCTTCTCATGTGCAGATAACATGTTGACGTTACCTAAATCGAGAAGAACAAAAATGACCAGAAAACCAACGAGCGACAATGTATTAGCCATCTTATATAACTTTACAATACAATAATATTAGAAGAATAGAATCTTACAAGGAGCTCTTTACTTGTCATTTCTTATTCCTAATTGTATTTATAGGCTTGAAAAGCGGGTAGGTTTAAGGAGATAAATATGGTATTCGACGTTGCTCCAAACACAGAGAAACAAGGTGTTAGAACAAACAGAATCAGATTACCCTTTGTTTACATTAATAATGTCGTATATATAGGTCAAACACAATCCGATTACTCTCCTTATTTTGTCAAAAAGGAAAATGAAAATTCTCCCTTGTTTTGGCTAATTGCAATCAAACCGATATTGCGTATAATCTAAAGGTTTACAAAGAGAATAGTGCTATTCACATATTCTTGTTAAATGGGACATGCGTAAAGAGAAGAATTGATCCTTATAAACAACGACCCTCATATTTTCCATTAAAAAATTAGAACATGACCAATTAAGCACATATTAGAACCCGTGTTAAATGGGACATGTGCGGTGTTCTTTTATCTTTATTTAGAAGTTTTGTCTCACTCATTTTTTTTAAAGAAGGTTTTTAATACTAGTGTTCAACGCCGAAGTTCGTTTTAGCAGTGTATTATTTTTTGAAGTTTGTCTTCAAGATGAGTGTTTTATTTTATCTTTTGTTTATGCTCCGTAGTTATCTTGAGGCAATGTGTCCTTTAATTACGGACAAACTTTTGTTTATTAAAAATACAATAATTTAGAGAGAGAGAGAGAGTTCCGAACCAGGAATACTCGTGCGAGAAAGATGTTAAAGACTTGGACTTTCAGATTGTGCAAAGAAATTCATTTACGTTGTAAAAGTATACTAAAAATCATAAGATATCTACGAAAGAAACAAATTCATAGAAATCTATAAAATCTTATAAAATTGTTCGAATCTATTAAAATTATTTAAAATCTATCACTTAATAAAATTCTCTTAAAACCCTATCAAATCCAAATTAACTACAACCTATAAGTATCTGAATAAAACCGACCAAATTCATGCCAAAAAATACGTAAGCGACATCGCATTAGTGTCTTTCTTGAGCCTGTTGTTAAAGAATTGAATCTGGGCCCAACCTGAAGCCCATAGAAATCCTTCTCTTCGCTCCTCTTCCCCTAGATCCTTTTCCAGACTTCGTCTTCTTCCTGTTCTTCCGAGCTAGCTCTTCTGGGATAACTCCACCGACCGTGCGGACGCAGACGCCGAGTTAACAGTATGTAATTTCGGTTTTTACTCTCACTTAGGTGAGCTTATTGTTGCTTGTGTAATAGTTAGCACCGGCTTGTTTGGATTTACTCGTTAAGCATAGAATGCCCACCAAGCGTTCGACGAAATGCCTCAACGCTTTTTGACAAGTGGGAATGCGTTTGGAAACTGGGTTCTTTGCTTGTGTACTTGGAAATCTAAGTTTTGCTATGAAAAATTGTATTTAACAGGAAAAATTCGGTGAACCCTACTCGCTGATTTTAGGAAATGGGGTTGTTTCTTATGCTGTGAGATTTAATGTGAGTGTTATGCTAATCTTCCATTGAAATATCGCATCTTTTGGTTGTAATGTTTGTTTTGGCTTCTGCAGATATCTGGGTTTAATTTGAATGGGTTGGAAGGCGGCTGAGAAACTCATTAGGCACTGGAAGATTCTCAGAGGAGATAATGTGAGGGGGGAATGTGTATCATTTTTTTTGTGCCTCTTTCTTTATCCATTATTTATTAGTTAACAGTTTTTCTAATCTCATTTACAGGTGATGATAACAAGAGGCAAAGACAAGGGTGAGACTGGTGTCATCAAGCGAGTCATTCGCTCTCAGAATCGTGTCATCGTAGAGGGAAAAAATCTGGTATCGTTCTGGCCCTATAAATCCGTTTTATTCTGGTCACTTCAATCAGATTGAGATTGTAGATGATCTCTATCATTATCATGAGAAATGTGTGATCATGTTTTTGGGTGTGTGCTCATTCCACACGCGTACTATTAAGCAAATAGAATTGACCAGTGTAATGTGGGTGATAGTCTGTCGACAGTATACTTATTTATCAAAAGTATCTTTAATGGTCGGAAGGTCTTCTAATGATCATGTTAGTAGTGAAGTCTCTATCTTGTGCAATGCACATGGAATGAGTCCTGTTGTGTTGAAAAAATCCATAGGTTTGAAGGATACCATTCAGACGAGAACCATGTAGCATATGATGTTCAAGGTTCCAATGAATTATGTGGATTTTGGTTGCCACTGAACAAGTACTCTGTCGTTGCAGGTAAAGAAACATATCAAGCAAGGCCAAGGTCATGAAGGTGGGATTTTTACTGTCGAAGCGCCTCTCCATGCCTCAAATGTTCAAGTTGTTGATCCAGTGACAGGGTAAGGATGCACTTGTCTTAACATTATGTTTTAAAATTCGTCAAGTCTTCCTCCTTTGTTTCACTCTTGCAGTGTGGTGATCAAAATCTTCATCCTGCAGGAGGTCTGTTAAGGTTGGTGTGAGATATCTCGAGGATGGAACGAAAGTTCGAGTATCTAGGGGATTAGGCGCGTCGGGATCTATAATCCCTCGTCCTGAGATATTGAAGATAAGGACTACTCCAAGACCTACAGTTGGTACGTATCTCAAGTCCTGAGATCTTATATTCTTTTGTTGCTACTTGTGAACACATATCTCAGTTTGCCATATTTTCCGCTGATAATCCAAACAAACTTTGGTTGCAGCTGGCCTCAAGGACACTCCGACCGATGTCGTGTTCGAGAAGACTTACAATGCTAAGACGGGGAAGGGCATGCCTGAACTTTGAGAGAATGAGTTTCCTACTATCATTCTAAAGCTCGGAGGGTGGATTGTAGCAGAAAGACATGGGAACATGGTTGAGAAGTTTGTGTACTGAACTTGTGCTTACATTTTGTTATTTCGTTGGTAGCATTGTACAAGCGAGATGGCTTGATTGCTATAGGATTTTTGAGATGAATGACTTATTCTTGCATATGGAACACCTCACATCGCTATACTAGTACATGGATCCCAAACAACGGATAAAATTGTGTTTAAATAGTGCAACACGCATTTGGATATGTTTGGCAAACAATCTTAAAGGAGATTAGAAGATCATTTTTAACGCTTTCTGGAGAAACACATTGCAGATGAAAAGCATTGTGACCTTTTTCTTAAGTGGCTATGTTTTTAGTAAAAACGCTTATGAGCATAGTTATTAAAAGAATCACGAGCTAATACAGATAATGAGGAATCAACTACGTTACATTATGCGTGACGATATTAATATTAATATAATTAAAAACGTATATAAAAATTTAACTCAAATTTATAGTTAAAAAAACACTTGTTCTAATCAACATGATTACTACACTGATCTCAGTAACGGAATTTTGCAAGCTATAGTAGTGAGAGAATTCTCTGACAAAGAAAAAAAATTAAATAAGAAAGAAAAGAAAAAAGTGGAGGAAGTCAATGGATAAATTGTTTGGTAGCTAGAACCTTACATGTCCGTACAGGCGACTGCCATGTGATTCACATGGACATGGTGAGCGCTGCAGAAGACACCGATCAGACGTCGCATCCTTTTTGCATGCCCACCAAAACTCCCCAAATAAAAATCCCCCGACCTTTTGTCCGTCCCAATTAATTGAAGTACAACGCAAAACAATTCAATGCAAATCCAAAACCAGAAACCGCTGCTACGAAAGCTTACGAGGCATACCAAAGTAGTCTCCACTGGAGCTCTGGATTGATCTAACGATCGACACGTAAATCGGACACTCGTCGCTATGCATGGCTTCGATCCCACTTCCTTATCCCATAATCCCTCCATATTTATAGAGCTACCTGCGTTCATCATCTCCATCAAACACAAGATCAAGCAAAAAAATAATTTCTGCGTTATTAGAAAAAGGCCATGGAGTTGAAAAGCAAGGTTTTCGTGGTTTTATTGCTGTTGTCTGCTTTTGTTCTGAGTGCTTTTGCGGCCTCTGTGGTTTTGGAAGATCCGGAACTGAAGCAGTGCCAGCACCAGTGCAAACACCAGCGAGGGTTTGATGAGAGGCAGAAGCAACAGTGCGAGAGGAAGTGCGAGGACTACATTAAGCAGAAGAGGGAGCAGGAGGAGCAGCGGCGGAGGTCGGAAGGCGGAGGAGGAAGAGGAGGAGAAGGGGGAAGTTTTTACACAGGAGAGAGAGAGGAGTTCGAGGGGCGAGGGCAACAACAACACCAACAACAACAAGGAGACGAGAATCCTTACTTCTTCGAAGACCAGCATTTCGAGACGAGAATTCAAACCGAGGAAGGTAGTGTTCAGGTTCTGCAGAAATTCAACGAAAGGTCTGATCTTCTGCGTGGGATTGAGAACTTTCGAGTCGGGTTTCTTGTCACGGAGCCTCATGCATTCGTTTCTCCGACTCATCTTGATGCGGATAGTATCCTATTTGTTTTCCAAGGTAAGTAGGTCACTCGTTAGTAATTCTTCTAATTATTGTGAATTACTGGAATCCCAGCCACATAATCCATTTTTTTTCTTCTTTTTTTTGACCTTGTTTATTGGAATTAAGGCGGACCAACAATTACTATGGTGAGGGGGGAGAAGAAAGAGAGCCACAATCTTGAACGTGGAGATCTCTTTAGGATTCCAGCAGGCACCCCATTTTATGTGCTCAATAGAGACGAGAATGAAAAGCTCCATATTGTCGAACTCTTCAAAACAGTCTCTACGCCCGGAGAGTACGCGTCGTTTCACTCATCCGGAGGCCAAGACCCCGAATCCTTTTTCAGAGCATTCAGCCCCGAAGTTCTCCAAGCCGCTTTTAAGGTATAACATACTTCAACTCCGTTCTGTTATACTTGTGCTTTATTACTAATTTGGTGAGTTAATTATGTTTGTGCTTCTAATTAAACAGACGGATAGGAATAAGTTGGATAGGCTATTTGGGCAGCAGAGGCGAGGCAGCATCATAAGGGCCTCCAAAGAACAAGTACAGAGAATGAGCCAGCAGCATGGTCACGGTGGCGGCGAAGGCATTTGGCCGTTGCCCTTCCATGGCGGTGATGAATCATCTTCAAAAGATTCATTCAATCTTTTCAAGAAGCATCCTTCTCATGAAAACAAATTCGGCCGTCTCTTTGAAGCCGATTTCAACGACTTCAAGCAGCTTCAGGAGTTTAACCTCGTCGTCTCATTTGCTAACATCACCCGGGTAAGAATATAAGAATATAAGAACATAAGTTTATAAATTCATCCCTTCGTGTTTTTAGTGGTTTATTTTTGTATATAAGTCGATTACAGATTGACTTCTTTTATACAAGCTTATAATCGTGTTTTTAATCACTTATTCTTGTATGTGTCAAACTCTGATTTCTTGTACGTGTCAATATGTGATTTTGCAATTCCTACTTACACATGCTTGAACTAGACAAGGATTGTCTGTCCTTCCACTTCCGGTGTCATTCCGTGCTCTCCTATTTATGTGGTCACGGTTAAACCACGTTAACATTTTATATTACTATTCATTTTTGTCTTATTATCTCTATAAAAAAATTATATAAAATGTTGACGTGGCTTAATCATGACCATACAAAATAAGAGGGCACGGGAGGGTCACTTTTGATTTTATATTACTATTCATTTTTGTCTTATTATCTCTATAAAAAAAACTATATAAAATGTTGACGTGGCTTAATTTTGACCATACAAAATAAAAGGGCACGGGAGGGTACCGAAAGTGGGAGAGCAGACAATCCTGGTCCGTGTGAACTTGTTCTTTTTTGTACGACTTATTTCTAGACATCATACTTGTCGGCATAAATTCGTCTTTTCTTTTGTGTTTTTAATTGGTCTAACTTATTCTTTACATCTGTTTCAACTGTGATTTCACTAAATCATTGAATACAAAGAGCCAAGCAACATTCGTAATATTTTCTTTTCAAATAGTTCTACCAGATTAATTCAGCACAACTCCTACGTAACTTAAATTAGTAAATAATGATGGATTCTATGTTCCTTGTGATATACGTAGGGTGGAATGGCCGGTCCATATTTCAACTCAAGGGCTACGAAGATATCAGTTGTGCTAGATGGCGAAGGCTACTTTGAAATGGCATGTCCACATGTTGAGTCAAGGGGTAGACAAAGTCAGTCCAGTGGAAGGTCACAGCAGAGACAAAAGAGCAGCCCAACTTACCAAAAGATGAGCGGAGACTTGCGACGCGGAGCGGTGTTCGTTGCCCCCGCCGGCCATCCTGTCACAACCATTGCCTCAAGGAACAACAACCTCCAAGTCCTCTGCTTCGAGGTCAACGCTCATGACAACATCAGGTTCCCACTGGTAGGGAAGAACAATGTGGTGAGCCAGTTCGACAGGCAAGCCAAGGAGCTGTCGTTTAATGTGCCGGCGAGTGAGGTGGAAAGTATTTTCAACAACCAGAAAGATGAACTGTTTTTCGAAGGACCAAATGATCAGCTTGAGCATGGCCGGGCTCATGCATAAAAGTTGAGGTTTTGTGAGAACTAAGAAGCTCTAAGGAGGAGAAGGTTGCAGTTTTGTGGCACTGACATGATGTGTATATTACAACATGGTCAACCAATGTAAATTTTGGTTGTAATCTTAAATAAAAGATCATGACTCACATGCATGCTAACTAAATGTTGTAAACTTCGGGTCGTATCCTTAAATAAGAGAATGACTTCTGCAGCCAACGTCTTGTGGATTATTTTTTAATTTTTATTTATTTATATATATATATATATTTTTTTTTTTTGCTTACTGTGATTATACTTAGGTTATAGATTAAGTTTTCAGTTTTAATTTAGATAAATTTTAGTGTAAATGATCGTTTATATAAAACATATACAGCTTTTTGTCATGCTGAAATAGATACGTAACAATACGACGCTTATGTGCTCACGTTAGCATTCACAAACGCTTTAAGGTATCGCAGTATCTAACCTTAAGACCCACTCCTCCTACCAGGCATGATAAAGTAGCTTCCATGGCCAGACAACATAACTAACCGCACTTGCAGGGTATTGGACTATGTCCGTACAAATCCTCGGAAAGTTTAAGGTATCGAATCCTAAGGTCATCTGTAGGAGAAAGTTTTTATTATGATCGGAACACGACTGGTACACCATGTATTTTTTTAAATTTTTATTTTTTAAGTTATTAATTTTTTAACACATATATCCCACTATTTGTATAATAACACGTGTTGTACCATTCTGTGTACTAATCACATTAAAAAATCTCTCCATCCGTATAGGCCCTTCACTCTATACGCAAATCACCTCACAAAGAATATTGCTCGAAGGTATAAATCCATCCCATAGAACCAAACAAATAAACTCATCATTCCACACACCACAATACTATAACAGTAGTACTATAGATTTTGAGTTTACCCAAACTATGCCAAGATAAGGTGAAAGGATATAGATTTGAGTTTTACCCAAACTATATCAAGATAAGAGGGGCAATCCTTTCACGCTTTATAATAAGGTGAACAATGTAACGGTTAATATCTTTAGGGTAAATTAATAAAAATATATAAACATGTTATAAATTATGCGGAAAAGTAACTCAATTTAAACCATATTATTGCTAGCCCATTATGAGGTTAAGCCAACCTCCTCCTCTTTAGCGTAGATAATATCGTTTGTTCAGAAAAAAAAAAAAAAAAAACTCTTTGAAAAACTTTCCTAAAAAAGGCAATAACCTAAACTCTTTGCATTAACAATATTGTTCATGATTTAATTACAAACAAATAATAATTCTCGTGGCATCACAAGAATACATGTACAAAAGATCCAAAAAAACAAATAGTTCTTAGACCAAGAAACGCTCCTTTATACCGAATGACTTTGTTTCGTCGGGTCAACTGTGTTCGCCAAGCGAATGCTTATATTTCGTCGGACAAACCTTTAAGTGACGGATTTTCCGCTACAAACTTTGTGCCATGGAATCTCTCGTCAGCCGACAAAATTTTGGTCTGAGGGTTTTTTCTGCAGTGGCGGCTAGCTAGCCATGGATGAATTCCTCCTTTCTAACATGACTCTTCAAGAATGGTCGCAAGAAATTGGAGTTCCTTCAATTTTTCCTCCAAGTCCCCATCACTGCTCCTCAAGAACTGGATGGGTTTCTCCAAAAACTTGCTAACTATCTCTCTGCTCAAATCTTGCACTATCCTGCTTTCTTCGTCTGATAGTTCTAACCCTTTCGTTTTATTCTCGAACTTCTGGGTCTCCAAATCTATGGCTCTCTCCGCAAATGCTTCCAACCTCTGGATTACAGCAGCAATTTCTTTCTCCTGTCCTCCAAAACACTCTTTCTTACTTCGCTCGGGTTTCAAGAGAATGTGAACGTCCAACCCAAACAAACTTTGGTAATCGCTAACAAGTTTATGTTGCGTCGGCTCTTGAAACTCGACTCTTTGGAAAAGGGTTTGTGGTTGATGTGTTGTGATGACCGAACTGGCCTTACAAACAAGCTTATGGCGACGATGGTGTGGTACAATGGAGAATGGCATCGGCAGAATGGCCATTTTTCCTTCTCTGGTTGCAGGTGATTTTTGTAGGTATCGAGTTTGTTGAAGTACGTAGTAGCTAATTAGCTAGGGTTTGATATGGTAGTAGCTTTGCTAATTTGCTAGGGTTTTAAAGGGTATAAATAGGATTAGAGTCGGTCACTTGACCGAAAGAAAACCAACACAAAAAAGGATTAGAGTCGGTCACTTGACCACAAGGAAAACCAACACAAAAAAGGATTAGAGTCGGTCACTTAACCAAAACGAGTAATTATTATTTCTAAATGGCTCACTTAAATTTAAAAATAAATAAAAATAAAATTTGTTTTGCAAAATAAATAACAAACAAAATTCTTGTTAAGGATCTTGCAACTACCTAGTATTACTAGCAACTGACCTTTAATATAGTTGGTTAAGAGCATTTGTCCTTACCTTCAATTCGAGGTTTCATATTTGAATCCCCTTCTTGGTAATTTAAATATATTAATGTAAATTATCCTATTATTTCTAAAAAAAAAAAAAAAAAAAAAAAAAAAAGGAATAAAACTAAAAACTAGCTAGCACTACTATTTTGACAATGTTGATCGCTAATATATTGATACTATAATTTGTTTATACCATAATAAAAAAGAATTGGATTCTCATTAGCACTACATCTTTATTTTTTATTTTTTAGAGATGAATGCGTAACTGAGTTTCTTAAAATGCTAAAATTCCTAATAAAACCATATGAGATTATTTCTTATTGATATCATGAGAGAACATAGACCATAACCTAAGTCTTGGATGTGTTGGATCCGTACAGAATTTGGAGCGACCCATATAATGTGATTATTTGTTATAGTCATAGTACTAGGATAAAATAGTACTATTTGAGAGCATCGATCGATTTCTGCATACTTATTTTCTCTTCCTACTTCTGCACACTATTTTTTAATATTTAAATTACATTAAGTTAAAAAAAAAAAAAATTAGATAACACATAAAGAAATGTGTCTTTAATTTAAAGAAAATGTGAAAAAAAACGCTTTTCCTTTTTTTTTTTTCCCTTCCCTAAGCCTATCCAATTACTATAAGCCCACCTATCCAATAAAACGTGCTTCTACTAACCTCAACTCGATGACCAGCTAGAGAAATTTTTAGTTGCGATGAGAACATGGATGGTACATCACGTGTTTTTATGCAACAGGTGGAAAATTTTAATTTTTAAGTTATTAATCTTTTAACACATATAATCTACGTAGTGTACCACCTCATGTATTGGTCACATTGAAAAATCTCTCCACCAGCTGCCGATAAAGGAACTCAACCATGTGTCCCACTTCAATGCCTTTGCTTGCTTGCTTGCTTCTGAAGGTAGAATTTCTCGTTATATTTGGTAGTGAGTTGAGGGTAAATTTTTTGTATGGTTAAGATGCTTTCTGTGAAAAAGTTTAGTCGTCGGACAACTTTAGTTTGCCCATCTGTTCTATATCTTCTACTTGTTGCTGATGCTAGTTATAGTGTAGCTCGGGTCTCGGAATCTCATCTTCGAGCTTATTCAAGTGTCGGGTTAGTTTTTGGGTTTCTTGGCTCTTCTTCTTTGGCCAAGTCAAATGTCCAACATGATAAACTTACACCTAAAGAAAGCTTCTTGTCAACTATGGCGAGAACAGTGTTCTAAAAATTGCCCTAGACGGCGCCTAGGCGTTTGGCGGTGGTCTCCCGATCCGATTTGGGGGAAATCGTTACAAAAATCGGTGGGTATCTAGGTAGCCGCCTAGGCACTTGCTAGGCCCTCTAGGCACTCTAGGCGGTGCTCAAGGCAATTTGAAATTCTTGCCAGCGTTGAAGGCTCTGCAACTATTGTTGTCTCGAACTTTCATTGGATCTGCAACTCTAACTCCCGCATCTGCATCGAAACTTCCACCTGTGTCCGCATTTGAATATAGCTATGGTTGCTTTGCTAGAGGTTTCTAGAAAAAGAACGAGAGAGAGAGAGAGAGAGAGAGAGAGAGAGAGAGAGAGATTGATTTATGGGATTTTGTGTTTCACGGGTAAATAGAAAATTAAAGTGGGAAGATAGTTGTGGAAAAAAATATGTGGCTATCTATTTGCCACATCTATGTCACTAGGAATAAGAAATTTATTTTTATATAAAGAAATAAGGTTGTTTATTAAATGAAAAGCAAAACCCAATCTTGATCAAGAAATGAAGCAAAGCCCAATAATAATTAAAATATGTAGGCTAAGTAGATGTTATAAAACTAACATAAAAAGCCCTAAAATTTTTACAAATATACTTATATTATATAATATATATAATAAATATACATAAATCCGCCTAGACCCCCCCGCCTAGCCGCCTAGGCGTTAGGCCCCTGCCAGCCATCCGACTAGCGCCTAGAGTTTTTTAGAACGGTAGGAACAATCTTGGTCTAAGCTCGAGACCCAGCTAAACTAACTGTGGAGATAAAGGATGCAATTGATGAGCACAGACTAAGTGATGCTTGGAAGTTGCATGAGCAGCATATGCAGATGGAAGGGTTCCCTAGGAAATCTGTTATGAATGAGCTCGTATAGAGTTTAATGTTCAGTGGCTGGAGAAGGCTTATGGGTTGGTAGAACATGCTATTGAGAAAAGCAAACTGAATTTGTTAGAGAAGGAGACGCTGATTTATCTGTCTTTTGGTCTTGCCAAAGCCGGATTACCTATTCCTGTGTCAACTGTTTTGAGAAAGATGGTAGAGATGGAACAATTTCCCCCTGTTGCAGCTTGGTCTGCAATATTGGCTTACATGTCTCGAAAAGCTCAAGGGGCTTAACTTGCTGCATAGTTGATACTCGAGATAAGGTACCTATTCCAAGATAACAAGATCGACCCGCGTAAGAAGTGTAGTGCACCTTTGATTGCTATGAAAACTAATACTACTGCTTTCTGTTGAATTGTAATCTTGTCTTGGCCCAAAGATAATTGATCCAGCCCATACACAAAGAAAGATCCATGCACATGCTAGAGAATTCTAGCAAATTCAAGTTGGTGGAATGCATACATAAATATCTAAGGTTTTTTGTAGAAAGATCTAGAATCTTGTAAAATTGTTTGGTTGTTAAGCATTAGCTAGAAAGTTCTAGCAATGCCTTAATTGGCAAACCTTGCCTATAAATACGTGAGGTGCTAAGCTTTGTGATGTAACAACCAAGAGAGGAATTAGTGAGAAGTGAGAGTGCCAAGTGAGAAGTGAGAAGAAGCAACAAAGCTTCTAAGAGTGTTTAAGTGTTTCCTCTTGTACTAAGTTTGTGTGAGAATAAAAAATTTGTATAACACTTTGAGTGTTCTTTCTTTCTCTTGCCTATCAAATTCTGCTGCATTACATTCTCCTTTGTGAGATAAACATCTCCAAAGTAGTGAAGCATTTTTAAACCCCAACACTTTCAACATCGCTTTGGCTGGTTGTCTCATGTTTGGGACGACTAGAAAAGCCGAGCAGCTGCTTGACATGATGACTCGATTGGAGTCAA